TCTTCATTTATTTCCCTTTTTGAAAAAAAAAATTACTTGAGAGACAGTATGGCAATAATTGGTATGTCATGACAAGAAGTATGTATTTAGAAGACCAGAATGACAGGCATTCCGAGCATGGCCCTAGTGTTACACATTGCTATCTTCAATGCAGTTTCTTGTTTCACAGTTATCAGAATACATAGTTATTCAGGGTGAGAATCCTACCAATTAACTGCTAGTTTCAAAAACCTGCTGATGTCTCTTAGGAGAATTGCCTTATCCATCCTGTGCATATAAATGTATGGCTTTGCCCTTGTCACGTTTCCCAGCTTTTCTCCCTGCCCTCTCCTCCTTGTCTAATACTCAACTTCTCATTTTCCTTTTAGTTATGTTGTACCTTTCTATTTGTATTTCTTCTTTTGAGTTCTTATACTAGGGAGACTACATGATATTTACACATGTGGGTCTGTTTTATTTCACTTATAAGTATATCTTCTAGGGGCATCCAGTTAAATATAAATGTTTCAAGTTTATTATTCTTTATAGCTGAATAATAATCCATTGTATAAAAATACCACATCTTTTTCTACCATTCCTCTTGTGACAGGCATCTTGGTTGTCTTTGATTTTTGTTAATGAACTCTTTGCCTACCCCTATGTCTTCAAGAGTTCCTCCTGCTTTCTCTTCCAGGAGATTTAGTGTTTCCATTTTAATGTTTTTATTTTTAATCTATTTTGCATTTAGCTTAGTGCATGATGATAGACCTGGGTCAAGTTTTAGTTTTTGGCATGTAGAGATCCAGTTTTTCCAGCACCATTTGTTAAAGAGGTTATCTTTCTTCCAGTAAGTGTGTTTGTCCCCTTTGTCAGAAATCAGTTGACTGAGTGTGTTCCCAGAGGCCTCTGCATCTTCTAATCTATTTCATTGATCCTCAGTTGTATTTCTTTGCCAATACCATGCTAATTTTGTCACAGTAGTTTTGTAGTATAACTTCAAGGCAGGAATTGTAATGCCTCCTTCCTTGTCTTTTTTGGCCTGATAACCTTTGCTATTCTAGGTCTTTTCTGGTTCCAAATAAATTTTATTTTTTATTTTTTTTTCCAAATAGATTTTAGGAACGATTTCTATAGGTCTGGGAGGTATGTTGGTGGTAGTTTGAAAGAGATTGCATTAAATATGTAAAACAAATTTGGAAGTATGGCCATCTTCACGATGTTGGTTCTTCCTATCCATGAACAGTGAATATTTTTCCATTTTCTGAAATCCTTTATGATCACTTTTTTCAGAGTACTGTAATTTTCCTTGTAAAGATTCTTGATTTCTTTAGTTAGATAAATTCCAAAGTATTTCATTTCCTGCGGTACTATTGTGAAGCCTATTATTTCTATACTTTCCCTCTTGGTCTGTTTGTTATCTATGTAGAGGAATGCTATTGACTTTTGAGTATTGACTTTGTATCCTAATATGCTACTGCATTTGTGTATCAATTGCAGTAGCTTCTTGGTGGAATTTTTTGGCATTTCATAGTACAGTTTGATATAATCCGCAAATAATGGTGATTTAATTTTTTCTTTACCAATTCTTATTCTTTTTGTTTCCTCTCTTGTCTAATGGCCTACCTAATGATTCCAGAACTATATTGAATAGGAAGGGTGGTAGAGGACATCCTTGACTTATATCAGAGCTGAGAGCAAAAGATTTCAGTTTTTCCCAATTTAGAATTATGTTTGCTTTGGATTGTCATAGATGGCTTTTATCGATTGAATTAGAGTCCTTCTATTCCAATTTTCTGTAAGGCTTTGAACATGAATGAATTTTGGACTTTGTCAAAAGCGTTTTCTGCAGCAATTTACATGATCATGTGGTTTTTAGATTTGGCTCTATTTGTAGAGAGCCCATGCCGTGAATCGCGGCTTCACTCCTAGGGACCATTGGGTGAGGCCTGCTGCAGCCTTTGAAGCCTGCGCTAGATTACCCCTCCCACCGAGTGTGCCAAGATGGCGCTCATTTCCTGCTTCCGCAGTCGCTATACACCCGCCTATAATGATGTAAGATACCTTCCCTGAGATTGTAACCAATGGCACTGTAACATGTATCAACCCTCGATTGGACAGTGTGAGGATATAAAAGAAACGCTCCGCGACGCGGAGGGTCAGAGACAGGAAGAGGGACGGAGAGAGGAACTGTGCTCTCTCGGGGCGCATCACTCAGGAGAACGATTAAAGCCTTTCCGCCGCACAAATCGTGTTGAGTGCTTTCCTGCTGGACGGGAGGGCACCCGACATCTATTGATAGTTTGTATTACAGTTATAGATTTTCGAGTACTGAACCATCCTTGCATCCCTGTGATGAATCCTACCTGGTCCTGGTATATGATCTTCTTTATGATTTGCTGTATTTGTTTGGCTAGGATTTTATTGAGGATTTTTGCACCAATGTTCATGAGGGAGATTGGCCTGTAGTTCTCTTTTTTAGTTGTGTCTTTCACTGGTTTTGGTATCAGTATAATACTTGCCTCCAACAATGATTCTGGGGGAACTGTATTCTTTTCAATTTCATTGAAGAGTTTGAGAAGTATAAGGATTATATCCTCTGTAAATTTCTTGCAGAATTCAGGTGTTAATCCATCAGTACCTGGACTGTTTTGTCAGCAGGCTTTTAATTGCATTTAATATTTCATTGGCTGTTGTAGGGTTATTAAGAGTTGTTATGTCTTCTTGATTCATTCTTGTTAATTTGTACTTTTCTAGGAATCTGTCCATTTCATCTGTCTTCTATTCTGTGAGCATTAAGATGGTGCAAGTAGCTATTGATAATCTTCTGAATTTCCACTGGGTCTGTGGTGATTGCACTCTTTACTTTCCTAATTGCTTGTATTTGAATTTTTTCTTTTCTCTTTTTGATAAGGTTAGCTAGGGGCTTATCGGTTTTATTCAATCTTTAAGTGAACCAGGTTTTGATTTGTTAATTCTTTGAACTATTTTCTTCATCTCAATTGAATTAATTTCTACTCTAATCTACGATTTCTTCTCATCTTTGGGCTGTGGGTTTGGTTTGCTCTTGCTTTTCTACATGTTGAAGGTGCAGGTTTGGGGAGTTTATTTGTTCCAGTTCTGTTTTCCTAATGTGTAAGTTCACAGATATACATTTCCCTCTGAGAAATGCCTTCCTTGCATCCCATTATTTCCGATATGTTGTGGTTGAATTTTCATGGAATTGTAGATATCATTGAATTTCTTTTTTAATTTCGTGTGTGACCCACTGATTGCTGAGTAGGGTGTTGTTTAATTTCCATGTATTTAGGGCTTTTTTCTTTTTTCTTTTGTTGTTTATTTCCAGTTTCTTTGCTCTGTGGTCAGATAATATCAATGGGATAATTTCTGTTTTCTTGCATATACTTACACATGACCTATGGCCTAGTATATGGTCTACTTCAGAAAATGAACCATGTGCAGCTGAAAAAAGTGTGTATTCAGCTGTGGTTGGGCGAAAAACTGTATATGTCCATTAAGTCCATTTTTTCCAAGGTTTGCTTCAGTTCTGCTAATTCTTTGCTAGTTTTTTTGTCTGGTTTACTTATCTTTTTGGGATAAGGTGGAGTTAAGGTCTCCTGTTGTGACTGTGGCATTGGATATTAGATTTTTGCATGTACCTTAATATTTGTCTTATATAGTTGTTTCTCTCATGTTTTGTGCATAGATATTTATGAGTGTTACCTCTTCCTCTTGAATTTTTCAACTATCCAGCATATAGTAGCCTTCTTTATTTTGTTTGATCTTTCTGTTTTGAGGTTGACACTGTCTGAGAACAAGATTGCTACCCTTGCTTTTTTGTTAGGAGCTGGGTCATGTAGTATTCTTTTCCATCTTTTGATTTTCAGCCTATGAATTTCTTCATGAGTTAAGTGTGTTTCTTGTATACAGCATATTTTTGGATTTTGTTTCCTAATCCACTGTGCCTAATTCTTTTACTTGGTGAATTGAGTCCATTTATATTGATGGTTATAATTGAGATGTGTTGACTTTTGATGGACATGTTATTTATCTGCTTTTGTTTACTCCTTTTCTCCTGTGTTTAATTGTTTGCCCTATTTTGTGGTTTCATTGTGTCCTCGTTCGTGGAGTTCTGATCATTTTGGTCTCTCTCTAGAACATCTTTCTGAAGTCTGTGTAGGGTTGGCTTTGTAATCATGAAATTCTTTAGTTGTTCTTTGTCATGGAAGTATTTCTCTTTTCCATCAAACTTGAGAAAGAGTTTTTCAGGGTGTAGTATTCTGGTCTTGAATATTTTTCATAGAGGACTTGAAGTACTTTGTTCCATGCCCTTCTTGCCTTCATGGTTTGTGAAGAGAAGTCGGCCATAATTCTGATGGGTTTTTCTTTGTCTGTGATCTGCTTCTTTTCTCTAATGGCTTTAAGTATATTGTCCATATGCTTGATTTCTGGGATTTATTATATGTATATATGTATTTCTGGGATCTATTATATATCTATTATACTATTATATGTCTCGGTGTGTTTTTAATTGGGTTGAAGTTAGTTGGCATCCTGTATGCTTCGTTTACTTGAATGTCAGATTGTTTCCTCATATGTGGGATATTTCCTGCTAATACTTCTGCCCATATTCTTTTTATATCATTTGTATTGTCTCCATCTTTCTCATTGATGCCTATTAATCTCACACTGTTTATCTTTGCATAGTCTTGTAGGAGATAGATGATTTTTTCCTTCTCCCTAGTTGTTTTTTAGACATCTTTTCTTACCTTTTCACTAAATGCTGTGATGTCTTCAAGTTGTGAAACTGTCTTCATTTTCACTCAAATGGTTTTGCAAGCCTGTGATTGAGATTTTATGTTCCTGTATATCTCTTTGACTCTGCTTCTTTCGATTTATTTCTTTTCTGTATTGCTTATTCTTGGAATCCATCATTTTTCTAGTCTCCTTTCTTTGTTTTTGTCAATGTTTTCTTTAAAGACAGTTATTAATTCTTTTACTGCAGAGTAGTTTTTTTTTGTCCATTTTAGCAAACAATTAGTTTATTAAATGTGGTAATTTTTATAACAAAATTCAATTGGAGAAGTGATCTATTTAAGCCTCTGATGAAATGCAAGGTGTGGGGCTCTGACTCAGCCGGGCCTGGAGCTCCTGGTTACACTGCTGTTCTGGCTCGTCAGAGCGCACGCTGCCTGGACTGATCATGTCCCACTGCACTAGGCAAATGTAATAGAAGGTGAGTTCGGCTGACACACATTTTCATCATATAAGTCTTCTGGTAGCTCCTCTTCATCCCCATCAGGAAAATATGTAGGGAATGGGAGATTTTTACTGAAATCCTTATATGCAGGCAGGTTAGAATCTTTGACCTTTACTAAGCAATTTTTATGTCCAGGCACTGAACCATTTACATAGATTATATTGTGTTTTGTGTTTATTCTCCAGACTTTCAGTCCAAATGATGTCCTATATCTGTTTCCCATTTGTCCAGGCATTTTAGTTCCCGGCCAGACTCTGGCAATGTCCCCAGTTGCAATGGCTCCAGGCCTCCTATGGATTTTCGTTTGACCGTGAGAAGCAGGCTGGCCTTTAAATCCCCATCTTTTCATGACTCCCTGAAAACCTTTACCAATAGTTTTGGCGGTGACATCTACATACTGTCCCGGACGAAAGTGAGCAGCATAAAGAGGGGTGCCTGGCTTAATTACAGCATTATCTGTTACATGAAAGATTTTAATGTTCTGTTTTGGGGGCAATCCAAGTTCTCGGTAAAATTCCAACACAGGTTCAGATTTACGGAAACGTGACACAGTTTTCCCTCCCACAGTTAGGGCTGCCATTCTTCCATTATGGTTTTCCTTTGAAGTGTATTTCAAGACATGACAATCTTGTACCTGTAGTAATGTGACTGCATGCTTTTGGCCATCCTTGGTCCATAAAGGCATCATGCCCAACTTCAGGGCAATAAGGCCAACTCTAGAAGAACCTGGTTCCCAAGGGAGTATAGGCCATGGTTCATCTTTTAGAGGACACAGTTTACTTGCTAACTGGGCTTTATCTTCATCAGAGACCAACTGCTTAACAAACGAGGTATTCTCTTCAGAAAGATGCTCATCCCACCAACTTGGGCTCTTACCGTGGAGACTTCTAATAAAAAGCCAGATGTTTGTTCTACTCCCCACGCCGAGGGCAGCTCCCAGCCCGCCGCCGCCGCCCAACTGGGCGCCCGCCTGCGCCAGCAGCCTCCAACCTGGCATGGAGTAGCTGGGTGAGTTGTGGTCACGACACCTTTGGGCGCCCCTCCTCAGTGCTTTTAGCGCGTCCTCAACTCAAGGACCACGAGTTCGTCTTGACCCTTGGGAAAGTGTCGCATCCCAGGTCCGCCAATTTCCTCCCGACGGAAATCCAGAGTAGTTTTTTTGGATTGGGTTTCCTCCATATGTTTCTGCATTTGATTCTGTACTTCTGATGTTATGAATTTAGAGGATTCTTCTTTCATTTCAGAAATTAATTCTGCTCTGAGTTCCTCTATACCTTTCTACATTTGTTTCCTTACTTCCGACCCTATTAATTCATACATTTCAGCTGAGCTAGTGTCCTGCAATTGTTCTATGTGGGCTCATGGCCTCAGATTGCATCTTGCTCATTCTCTTTTTCATTTCATATAGCACTGACCTCTGACCTTTGTTGTAGAGCTTTCGTGCATTTACAACCTTTTCACGTATTGAAATTCAGGTGCAGATCTATTAAGTTTAAATTTATCCAGTTATTACTGGCTTGGTCTAGCTGTTGTGTTCATATCCTTCCTCCTGCATCCCTTGGAAATGAACCTATTGTGCACCTGTGGCACAACAGTGACCCTGTGTTGTCCCTCTGTTGTGCCTCTGGCCCAGGGACCACAGGCAAGTACCCAAGCTCTCCCACTCACTAGCCACGCCTGGGCTGGGTCGTAGCTGGGGGTTCCAAGAGTGTCACAGAAGTTCTCACTTACTGAGCAGGCTTGAGAGCAGAGGCTCTGGAGGGATAGAGGGGTCCCAAAGGGGTGGAAGAGGGTCTCACTCATGTGGTATGCCTGAGTTTTGGTCTGGAGAAGTCCTGTGTGGGCAGGGAAGCTGGAAACTCTCCCACACACCAGCCGGTCCTTGGTTGGGTTGGATCTCCAAGGCAATATATTTATTAAACTTCTATTATGGATGCTTAACAACTAATTTTTACAGACCAAAAATTAGAGAAATAAAGTGGCTACATAGATAGCCAATATTTTGGCCCTCGCTCTTCAAGGTCAGTGAAGATTCAGGACATAAGAGAACATGGGCTGTGACATCTTGTAACTCAGTGGTTTCCCAAATTTTTCTGATCAAGAAGTTTATGAGGCCACAGAGGAAAATGATAGATGATGTATAGTGTGCCTAAAGATAGTTATCTAGAGAGGAAAATTCTCTCATGCTTTCACCAAGAGCAAAATGGTCAAGCAATGGCCGTGAGTCATCCAGATGGCTTACAATGACAGAAGACCCACAAGGTGCTGTGCATGGTTCCAGGGTAAATCCTGAGGGGATTTGATTGACCTTGTCAGATAGCAAATGTTACATTTTTTGTTATATAGGTCTTGCTTTACTTGGTCTTAAGCGTCCAGCAGAAAAGTGTAACCACGAGGCATAAAAGTAAAGCTATAATAATATACTGAGCTTTAAAATCTTTACATCAACAATACATGTACGTACAATCTTTGGTCTGGCATGAAGTATGGAAAAGTCCTTTGAAGGCTTCCAAATACAGATTCTCTAACAACAATGGAACATTGATCTCTGACAAAAAGGCAGATATAAATAAAGGGCCGTTCTCTCTCTCTCTCTCTCTCTCTCTCTCTCTCTCTCTCTCTCTCTCTCTCTTTCTCTCTCTGTATACAAGATAGTTAGAATAGATATACAGCTACTTTCTCTTCATTCATTGAGAGGAAAAATCTTTACTAATAATGTTTAGACACGATATCATGTCTTCATCTTGTCCTCTGAATAACTACTAGGAAGACAATAATATGTAATGTATTAATTATAGTAACTGTCATACTAACTTATTTTGAAGTTGTTTCATTTTTATTTTATCTTTTTCTCATTAAAATTAAAAAAGTAGATAATATAGCAGCCATTGCTAATTAGCTATCCCTGTTTTAAAAATCTGTAACATATGTACTATTGTATGTTACCATTTCTGTCATTTTTTATATTCGTTTTTGCTTCAGTTTTCACTCTTCAAAATAAAGTAAAATAAAATAAATAGGATAAGATAAAATAAGATAAGATAAAAATAAAAAGAAATAACTCAATCAGTAATAAAAAAAGTCATAGGGTAAACATTTTCAATCAAAAAAGTAGAAATAAAGAAAAGAAATGATAAGGATTAAAGGAAAAACCTAAATACAGTAGGGCAAACCTCAAATCCTATAATTTTATGTGAAGCACTTAAGTCAATCTTAAGTAACATGTGAAGTCCAAAGGCCCGTCCTTGTGGTGCTGTCAATGGTCATAGTCCTTGTAGTTTCTCTTTGGCTGGCATTGCTTACTCGTGTTTCCTCATATGCTCCAGATTCCTGCATTCTCCAGCTTTCTCAGGTCTCTACTGCACCTTTGGCTTCACAATCATAGACTTACACACTGCCACCTCAGAGGCACAGTGTCTGGCCTTCCAGGCCTTCTGAAATATGGGTGGAAATTTCCTGCTCCCCACAGCTCTTGCGTTTGTGCATGTGTCAAACCAGCACCACATAGATGATACCGAGGTCTCTTGCCAGATGGAGTGAGGGCACTTGCATGTTTCTCACATTTCCTCAAGGGAGTGTTTTCTTTCTTTCTTTCTTTGATGGCACCAGGGATTGAACTCAGAACCTTGGGTTTGGCAGGCAAGCACTTTTTCCACTGAGCTATCTCCCTGGCCCCTGAGGGAGTGTTTTCTATTGTACTGTTTCAAATTACTTAGCTTCTTTTAAACAACCAATATCTTCTCTGCTTCACCTCTACAGCCCTCAACTGTACAGACTCTACCTTTCTGACAAAACTCAACACATTTAAAATGTTTCTGTTGGGCTATTTGCTATTGAGTCTAGTCTGAATGTTTGATTTGCTTGAAATTTCCTCTTTCAGATGAATTAGTCTACTGTCCTTAGTCTCAGTCTCCTGCAGTCTCAGGACAAAATGTAGACAATTTTTTTTTCTTGCAGAGCATAACACACATGATCTGGAGTCCATCAGCCAATGGAATCCTACTTCCCAACTAAAACTTTCTGAACCTTGTCCTTACATTTTGTCTTTTTATATGCATTCTTATCTTTGAACAGAATGTCCAATGAAGCTTGCTTACAGTATTATAGTGCTGCTTTTCCAGCTAGTGGTGCCAAAGTCTTCCTAACTTCTGCTGAAAATCAGTTTCAAAAGTTTGTTTAGCACATGGACACATAGTCACAGAAACAGCACTACTTTTCTGGTACTGTTACCATCCAAACCAGGGTTAGCATCTCTTGAAGTCAAAGAGTGAAGTCACAGGCAAAGGAGTCATGGAGGGTGCTTACTGGAAGAATATAATGAAAGTTTCTGATGGGGGGCAGATTGCTGAAATGGGAAGCCACTGTGGGCTCCTTGTGGGCTCTTTTGTGGATAAACAGAGTGTAAGACTCTGCTCATTGTACAGTGGTCACTTGTTTCATATGGTGCTGTGGCTTTAAAATAATAGATTAGAACTCAGGTTTCCTAACATAGAGTTCAAAAGAAAACCAGTTACTCACCATCTTTAAGTGCCTCAAAACAGCCAAGATATGGATAGGAGTTTGTTTGCTGGTGCACTCCATTCCACTGTAGGAATGCTTTCCTAAAATGTCAGAGTTCTAGTAGCCTGGCCTTACCGTATCACTTTTTCTGCTTTGTGGTTATATTTCTGAGCTTAATAATCTGTATGGCTTGCATGTATGAAATGTTTTGTTTTAATGATTGCGTAGATTCCTGAGCTGTACTTAGAATGTCTAAAGTCATCCTCTTTGAACCACTGTGTGATTTGGAGTGGTTGAAGCTGGAAATTGGTCATATGTGTGATAGCAGGACAAAGCCACAGGTCTAAAGCAGTCAGGCTACCTTAGCCTTGAGAAAAGCATCCTGCCTGGACAATTTCTGACATTAGTTATTAGGCAGTCTTATGTCTCTCGACACTAACTTTGCAAGAGCATAAATGAATGCATTAATTGTTGTTTAGGTCTTTTGCCTATCAAGTAAAGAGGCCTCTACCTGATCCAACTCTTGTCTCTTTTCTTTATTGTATAAATCCTCTCACCATTTTCAGGGACCATCAAGAGACCAATGAGTCTGAACAATTGTCTGTCACAATTAGTTTTACCTTGGTGCTTAAGAAAGTGATGTCCTACATGATATCACTGAGGGCTCTCTGAGCAGAGATGATAGTCTGATTCAAAGTGCCTGTGATAAGAGCTTTGGGGCATTTTAGTCTTGTTGAATCAACTAAAAGTATGATACTATCCTTGAGACAATCTCCCTTCTGTTGATTATTAGTTTAGACTGGTTCTGGATAGCTTCTTGTCCTTTGGGTGATGACATTTATCCCAGTCTCTATACTCGATCTTATCAAAAAGACTGGAAGGTGATTTCATCCCAGTCTTGATGGAAATGCCCTGGTTTTCAATAGTGACAGCTTACAGATGAACTTTCTTTGGGGCCCTGGGTATCTGAGTAGCTCCCTTGGGTAGCAGTGACTGGGGAAGTTGCTTTGTTTTCATTTCATTTCTCTTTCTTTTTGGCCTTGTCACAGACTCTGTTGTAAAGGACATCAATGGCTACCTTGACCAAGACATCTAAGAGGCTATGAGAATCATTTAAAAAAATAATTTCCAATATATGTTAGAAGTATATTGTGTTGTAATGTATCCCTGAGGATTCCTTGTCACTTCAAGCTGTTTGGGAGCAAAGACATATATTTAGTTAAAACTTCTTAGGGTCTTTGGGAAACAAAGGTGGAGGGATTTTCTTCACTGCTCTGATCAATACTTGATAATTTGGAATAATTTAGGTCTTTAGAGCATGTCGTCCTCAATCCCTAGAGAAGGTAGGCCTAGAAATGTTTATGTTTCTATTCATCCTTATTATCATCCTAGAGGGAGCCATCTCCTGTGACTATATATTTCACTGTGGGATATGGTTCCTCCCCTTCCTTTAGATTCCTAGGCTGCTGATAACAAATCATGTGTAACTCATCTCCAAAGACCTCTGTTGCCTACATTAAGGAGTAGAGTCTGACTTAAAGATTATAACATCTTAAGCTAGATCAAAAGTCTGAGTTAAACCTTGAATTGTCTCTGTGTACTTATCAGGATCTCAGAGAATGTTCCCAAAT